AGGTCGGAGGTCTGCCTACCTGACGTAGTATGAGTCAGGCATGCATTCGATCGCTCGTGTAGAAGAAGTCCGTGTGGATGCACGACATCTTGCCGCCAACGGCTGGGTACTTCTCGTCGACGTAGGAGGAGGAAGACGTCGGCCTTGAATCGAAATGGTACAGGTCTTTGTACTTGCCCTGACTGCAACGCCCCGCGTGGCTCAGCGTCGAGACGAGGAAGCCATTCTCAACCAGCGTGTCGACAGTCTTGGCGGCCGCGTCGGCAATGTTCTTCCCCTGGCGCACTTCGACATCGTAGGCGAAGCGGCGGCAGGTAATGCCCTGCTTCTCGGCGGCGGCGCGGCAGTCTGGGCGAAAGAACGGCTCCCAGTAGTTGGTGACGGAGAAGATGAGGTTGGCGCCTTGAAGAGCGGCGGCGAGAGCAACGGGGTCGTCGAGGTCGGCCGCCACGACCTCGGCGCCCTCCTTAGCGAGAGCGAGGGCAGCAGGCGAAGAGGGGTTACGGGTGATGGCGCGGACGCGGAAGTTGGCAGCAAGAAAGCGGCGGGCAACGGAGCCGCCCTGGTTGCCTGTGGCACCGACGACGGTGATCAGACGGGAGGTGCCGTCAGTGGTAGCCATGGTGGGCGATTCGTGGTTTGGAGTGAGTGCGCGTGAGATCCCGTTGGTTGGTTCGTCTGGTGTCCTTTCTCGTTCAGCGGCGTCAATTCACGTGTCTGACACCAAAATGTGATGCTGAGGTCTGCCAAACAGCTGAGACTTTGGCGAGTTGGCAGCTGAGGGGGCGGATGGGATGGAGGGGATGGAGGGGAAAGGGCTGGCTAGAAGGAGGGCCGACCCCTGTTCCCACGAGGCCCAGAACGGCACACTGGGATCGGGCCCCGCTGAAGCAGAACGCAAATCCTGGTTGAAATCCCGGTTGGAATCCAGGTGGTTGGATGGCGCAGGTACCTACCCACCTTGGGCAAGCATGGTAAGGTCGGGATCTCCAAATAGTCTAGCACGAAAACTAGGCAACGGGTAGCTCAGGCCAGCGAAGGAAGCAGAGCTGCTCTTGGTCGGGCTTTGACCACGCTTGCCCGGTGAACATCACCTCGAACCACCAGAATCACCTCGAATCACCAGAACGACCTCAACCTCCAAGTCCTTCCGACCTGGCGGCTACCGGAGCCATCACCTAACTATCGTTTCGATTTACAACTTCCGAAGAAATTGTCATTCATTAGAGTCTTTCGGCTGTCAAACCTGTCTACGCCAGCGTGGCCTTAAGAACCTTGATCTGCTCCAGAACGCTTGATCGACTAGTACCACCCTTGACCGACCTCATCTCGACGCTTCGCTCGTAGTCAAATGTCTGCGCAACGTCCTCCCCAAATCGGCTATCAATAGCCTGAAGCTGCTCCAGCGAGAGCTCGTTCATCGGAATACCTAGCTTCTCGCTCGTGGCGACACATCGCCCAGAGATGTGGTGCGTCTCACGGAAGGGTACACCCTTTCGCACGAGATAATCAGCAAGATCAGTGGCCAGCATGAA